TAGAGAAGGAAACTAGCAAACTGGCTTTCCTGTGGTTCAATATATTTCTTTCCAGCTATGCTGGGTCATGGGTGTTAGATCTTAAAATTACTTAGTTTTCATTATCTTCCTTCCCCCCCTTCATTTCTGATGTGATTTTTTTTTTTTAGCAGCCACAATTTCAAGAAGTACCAAAACTAGTAGAAACTGACATTTAATACTGAAATTGGAAACAGCTTGGAATGCCAGCTTTGATTAAATCATCAGTCTCTAGCTCTAGTATTTAGTGAAATATGAGCTATTAAAATAATGTCACAGTTCAAACAGAAAATATAGCATGATTACAGGTCCTGATAGCTTACAACTTGCTAGGAATAGAATTTTGGAAGAACAGTACAAATACTTTCAGACCAGTAAACTTTTCCAAAAACCGATCCTGAACTAGTAATCAGAGGAGAAATTTAGGTTTCTATATGATGCATAGGATTGTTCTTTGACTATAGTGCTGTACTTACCTGCACTGGAAGCTTTTGTTCTAAAGCAAATGTGGAAAAGAGTTTAAAATAAACCTAAAACGATCCAGTAAAAATGACCTACAATTTTTAGTTCTGCAGGGTCAATGGATTGAAAGGAACCATTGCATTATAGACAACAAGTGTGGGATTGTGACACTGCGGCCAATCCAGGGAGCATATTGTACTGTAAATGGACAGGAAGTCACTGGTGCTTGTCGTCTGTCACAAGGTGAGTCTTGCGGTTCCTTTTTGTGACGTTGATGCTAATGATACAGGTATCAGCAGGTGAATACAGTAAAATACTGAGAGAGTAAATACTGTAAATCCATTCCTCAGCATTCCTTAGGGTGGAACAATACAACCTAATAACCCTCTGAGTTCAGAAACTAGGATCTACTGAAGATGTACACGTCTACTAAATGGATGGGCATACGTGTTATGTTAAAATGAAACAGTTATGGTCATATTAAGATTAATTTTAGCTGCAGTAATTCTTAGCTCTCTGAAAACGGAAGGCTTTTCAGGATTGCTTCTGACCATTAAGGTAATGGGTTAGGTAGAACCCCTCTAACATGTCCACTGCAAAAGCCATAAGAGCTTGGCTTTCTGTGGACTGTACTAGAATGGTTGAATTACCTTAGACTTCATTTCTCATTGGAATCAGATTTTTGTCAAAATTGTAGATGTTGAGCTATAGAGTACAGGGGAGTGTCTCTGAATTCAAAGTTAGGGTTAGAGATTTAAGGCCGGGTTTACAAAAGCACCTAACAAACTCTATTGATGTCAGTGGAACAGGCCCGTATTGTGGTTTCAGAGGCAAACACTGGGAAACCACTTTTCTTGGCTGCCCAGAGCTTCTGCTGTTAGGAGATGCTGCTTCTTTCACACACCACCACCAGACAGTCTTATTCAGCTTGCTAGGACAAGTCTTTATCTTATTATTGACACTTTTTTTCAATTCTACTTCAAAGTTCCAAGATCATGCTGCTGTGGGATTAAAATATGGCTCTATGTAGGGGCGTTTCGAAATTCTTCTTTGCATTTTTTTTTACTTAATTTGTGCTTTAGATTTTTTCTCACTTTTTGTAGCATTTTCACTTTAAAGATTTTTTGAGTATCTTAATTACTGAGCACTGGGATTTGAAATCTTTCTCTTATGTGCTCCTTGTCATTAAGATAGAGGAGTCAGAATAAAAAGAAATTTCCAGCAGTGTATTTGCCCCTGACCTCCAGGGTTTAAGGTTTTTTAAAAAGCACAGTAATGCTGGCAGTAACAGTCAGCAAAGTGTTACTACGAGTGGTTTAAATTGTATGTACCTTGGATACACATCAAATTCCAGGTGTTTGATAAAATTTTATCTTCATAGTTTCCTTTTTTTTTTTTTTTTGAACAGGAGGTCTTGTTGTCCTGGGCAAGGCTCATAAATTTAGGTTCAACCACCCAGCAGAGGCTGCCATTTTAAGACAAAGAAGATTGGTAAGTTTTGAGACTTTATATTTTTCTTTCCTAAATTCCTTCATTGGTGACTAACCTTATTTCATTTTAAACGCAAATATCAAATGTATAACATTTCTTCATATCTCCTTATTTACTTGCATCATTTCCTCCTTCTAATGGTCTGTAGTAACACTAAACCATTGTGGATGGACACTGGTGCCATTTGCAGAGTTGCTTAGCAAAAGAAAATGCAGATCCTCTTAAATAATTTAATATATCCTTGTTTTCTAGTCATGACTTCACTGGGGTTGAAACAATATAACTAAAGGCAGAATACTAAAGGGGAAAGACAATTTAAAAACTTTCCATGGTCAATAATATTCTGAGTTATCCTCGTTATGGTATTAGCTCACCGTTCAGCATTAAATACACTAAAAACAATTTTAGCTGGTGAAATATATATATTGAGTGCCCCAGTATTCATGTAGATATTGTTACATGCATTGGAGTTAGAGATTGAAATTAAAAATTGATAAAAGGAAATACTTTTTATGTGGTGTATAAAAAGGGAACTCACTACTGCAGGATATTATTTAGAAAATAGTTTATTCAGATTTCCAAACAGACTTAGACATCTGTAAGGTCATTGGGACAAGGGACATGCTCTATTCTGTGGCACATATTAACAGCAGCAATAATAAGTTGAAACCTGCTAGGTTGTTTTAATATTCCTTCCTCCTGCTCCCATCTTGTTTTTTTTTAATAGATTAGTGAAGTCTCCACCGTATTGAGCAGCAAATCTTTGGAATGGCTGGACTTGGATGGAGATTTCACTCCTTCCCCTCCCTATATCTTTTCTCCACTTGAAAAAGAAAGGTAAGTTTTAAAAGAAGTATTCACTGGAATGGAACTTCCCTGGAACCTGGGTTCATTTCAAAGAGAAGTGGAATGCATAGGTCCCATCATATTTTATTTACTTATTTAGATTTAAATTATAATGATGAGTGGAACAGCTCCAACAGGAGAGATTGAGAGAGAACCACGCCTGATTACCCTATGCCCTGGTGGTCAGGGCACTCACCTGGGCTATAAAAGACCCAAGTTCAAGTCCTTACTTCAAGTCAGGGAGAGTAAGGATTTAAAAACAGGTCTCCTACATTCCAGATGAGTGTCCTAAGCATGGGCTATTGGGTATCCTGGGATACACACACCACCAGTCCCCCAAAAATGCTCTATATGGTCACCCCCAACAGTCTTTTGTATGAGGCCAAATCTGATATGCATACTCTGAGAACACCTACTGGACTGGGCCCTGCAGGTGAGATAGGTGTGTAAAGTCCTAAAATCTTGCTGGGGTTTAGGCATGATCTCGGGTGCTGAACTGATTAGCAGCGTCTGGACTTCAGTGATTTTGCACATGCCCAAAGCCAGAAACTTAGGCATATTTTCACTAGAAATTTAGTCTTCTAGGGAATTTAGGCACCTCCAGAGAGAGGTAGCAGCTGAGCAGAAATCTTAGTTGCTCCTAAGTTCCTTTGTGGGTCTAGCCCAAAGAGATTAAGGTCAAAAGATCCCACTGATTTTGGGTGTCCAATTTGAGATGACTAGGATCTGATTTTTCAGAATACTTAGCATAGGTTAACACATTACATGTTCAAATCACAGCTCCCATTGACTTCAGTTGCTACTGTGAGTTCTCAGCACTTCTGCAAATCAGACCCCTGCAGGGTCTTAACTCAGGCACCCAGAAAATGAGGAACACACAATTAGTGACAACCAGGGAAGAGTTTGGTTTAAGTGATTTGCTCAGCATCACATAGAAACTCTGTGGCACAGGCAGGGATTGAATCCAAATTTTAGGGCATTCAACTTCCTTAACCATGAAACCATCCTTTCTTTTCCTCCAATCCCCTGCCTCATTCACCACATGCCTTTCAACTTCTGCAACAAAGGGGTCCAACAGACAGCAGCCTCCTTTACGATACAGCCTTCATTCATCCCCAGAGCAGGTCTATCGTGTGCACTGAATAAAGCTGTGGAAAATATAGTATGTGATTGTGAAATTAAAGACCATAATGCATTACAAACAAGGGGGCTGAATTAATGCTGCACAGGCAACCTTAATTCTGGCATTTCCTAACTTTTGAGTCCTTAACTTTGCAACCTTAATGTTCTTTGAAGCTAATTTTGGTGTGAAATTTAAGTTATAAAGAGGATGCTATTTGGTGTATTTATAAAACTGAATATAACCATTTTCTTCTTGGAGAGCTGTCATGCGATGGTGATTTGTGTTTAATTGTTGGGGAAAGAACAACTGCTTCCATAGTTCACCTCAAGCATCAATCCATTTCTTTGCTAGAGTTATTCTAACGGAATAGCAAAATTCAGCATTTTTAAAATTCTCTTGGAATGTTTTTCCTTCTTATATTTATGAACATGAAGCATTCATCCTTATACAATATTTGTGCATGCTTTCTGTGTTACTGCCTCCAAGTGTGCACTGTGTGCTCTTCTTCTCTCAGGATAACATCCTTAGATCCTCTTCAGCTATTTCTTTTAATTTTATACGGAGATACCTTTCTTTACAAAACAATATTTGGTATTTATTTGTTTTGTACAATGTATCATACCAGGTCATGTCACTTTTACCTCCATTCCCCACAGAATGGAAAAATTTACAAATAAGACGTTTGCTAATGATCTACATCATGCCAAGAGACTCACTACACAGTTTTGAATATAAAAGAGGTAGAAACTTTGTTGTAGGCTCTCAGTGATGGGTATCAGATATTTGAGACATCTCAAGGCATATAGGATTGTACATCGCTATTTTGGTTTTTTTTAGCGAGTGTTTGAGTTGCCTTCATAAACCAGACAGGATTGAGGACTATTTCTGATTGATTTCCAGATTATGTATAGATAGTAGATTCCTTTAGGATGGGAATATGCTATATTATAGTGTATAATGTTGTTTTCCATTTTGCCATGATTATCTTAAACTGTTACTCTGAAAATGAAACTTTTTGGTGTCCTGCTCATTTGAATTTTTATTAATGACTGTCTGTTACTGAGATGAGATATAATGTGCATGTAGTTTTTATTAGCTGTGTTTTACCTGAAGAAATCCAGCAATCTTTTGTTTCTCTTCTGTAGTCTTTCCACAAAGTTAAACCAAATTGTTTTTCTTTTTCTTCCCTTGCACTAAGTGATAAGTGTGTCTCTTATTCCAGATAAGTGGATTTGCTCATGTGATTGAAATGTTTCCCCCTAAGAGGGTCAGCACAAAGGTCTATAATATAGGGATAAAATGGGACTGAAGTGGTCTGTAGATGTTGCAGAGGCAACATCAGAGCAAATCAATGTCACCTAGTAGAAGCGTATCTGATATACAGTACTGACTGTAATATATATCTTGGTTTTTCCACAGTCAAAAGCATATAGGCCATGAGGAGTGCAAACATTCAACTGAAATGATGAGGTAAGAGACTAGCTTGAAGTTAGTATATGACAGTACCTTTCATCATGAGATTTCCTGCACAGTTCTCCAATCTTTGCAAATGAGTATGCATCCTCATGCAAACTTTGAGAATTACAGATATGTGAGGCTCAGGGAAATTGATACTGGTGCAAAGATGCAGTCAGCTCCTTCCTCTGTAATCATTAGGTCTTCATGTCCATCTCCATTCTTGACTCAGCCTGTTCAGAGCTATAACATTGTTTAATTGCTTAATTTTCTAGGCTTTCTTAGCTATGACTATCACAAGTTAGAATTATTAGGATCATGTCAAAACCATGCTGATTTTCTGGCCTCTCTACCCCTTCCTTTCTCCATTGGCCGCTGTGGGAGGAGGCAGTCTGGACCACGATAATCCAAGTGCATTTCATCACATTGAAGTGTCAGAATGGCAGTTTGCAATCGATGTGCAGATGAGACCCTGTTGCTTGCTGCCATGATGCTATTCTTATTTCATATTTGATGCTTTTTTGCTTTAGTGGCTTGCCAAGCTATTAAACTCAAGTCCCAAGTGAGACGAACCTAACATTCTAATGGATCCAACCTTAAAGCTGTGCTGACCAATTGTTGTGGGTTTTTTTAATGTTGTAAGTGCAATTTAACAAATGGATTGCAAATGACCCTGCAAAGCTTCTTTATCTCATCTCAGGGTCTTTTTTCAGTCAAACTGTAAGTGTGAAAATGCTGCTTTTGAGGGGATAGAGTGCTGTAAGTCAAATGCTGCAGTTGGAAGGAGCTGTGGAGCAATTGTTGACTAACTCCCAATGATATTCCAGCTGACATAGGACTGAATAGTGTCAAAAACGTTCAGGATGGGTGAAATTCACACCTGTGCAAAGAGTCATCACTCTTGTGCTTTCTAAGTAGGGCTTAAACATGACTCAAGCAGAACTCAAAGTGATGTGTAAGCCATATGCTGGCTGTCTGCCCAGGGCTGAATTTCACCCATTTGGAATATATAAACACATAAAGAACATCATGCCATTTTCACTTATAATTGTAATATTTTTATAGGTGTCAATTTGGTAAAGTGTTCTCATAAATTCATTTTAGACTTTTATGTGTAACCAGGTCAAGCCTGTACTTTTTGTTCCCTTGATAAGAATAGAATAAGTACAAACATTCACAGTGAAATAATATTAAGGCTCTAACTCAGCCTGACAAAAGCAGGTAATTAAAATGTAATGCCAGATGTGTTTTGTCTTTATGTACTGGGCCCAATTTAGGAAACTTTATTCTTGTAAGTAGTCCTTACTCATGAAAGGTAGTTCCACTGACTTGTATGGGACTAATTGCATGTGCAAGGACTAATCATATGATTAATGTTTTTTAGAATTGGGCACTATGTCTGGTGGTTCTAGGAATCTCCAAACTGTGTAGGGTCTGGTACAATATCTGCTCATACTAGGTGAATACTGTGACAGGTTGGATCACAGAAACCCATTGGGAACTGCCACCTGATGTGCCAAGACTACTTCTGCTCCTGCTTTCCTGCCCTGGCAGCCTAGGACTCCAGCACCTTGTCTTGTTGAGCCATACACGCCAGTCTGCTCCATCACAGACCCATGGTCTGAACCATGTGCCCCAAAGCTGCAGACTTAACCTGAAAGCAGGGGAGGGATAGCTCAGTGGTTTGAGCATTGGCCTGCTAAACCCAGGGTTGTGAGTTCAATCCTTGAGGGGACCACTTAGGGATCTGGGGCAAAATCAGTACTTGGTCCTGCTAGTGAAGGCAGGGGGCTGGACTCAATGACCCTTCAGGATCCCTTCCAGTTCTAGGAGATAGGTATATCTCCATATATAATAATATATATTAGCACTCAGATACCCAACTCCCAATGGGGTCTAAACTCCAAATAAATCCATTTTACTCTGGATAAAACATATACAACAGTGGCTCTCAAACTTTTTTACTGGTGACCCCTTTCACATAGCAAGCCTCTGAGTGCGCCCCCCCCCCCTTATAAATTAAAAACACTTTTAAATATATTTAACACCATTATAAATGCTGGAGGCAAAGCGGGGTTTCGGGTGGAGATTGACAGCTCACGACCCCCGATGTAGTAACCTCATGACCCCCTGAGGGGACCCGACCCCCAGCTTGAAAACCCCTAATATACAGGGTAAACTCATAAATTGTTCACCCTCTATAACTCTGAGAGAGAGAGATGCACAGCTGTTTTCCCCCCCAGGTATTAATACATGCTCTGGATTAATTATAAGTAAAAAGTGATTTTATTAAATACAGAAAATAGGATTTAAGTGGTTCTAAGTAACAGCAGACAGAACAAACTGAATTACCAAGTAAAATAAAATAGAACATGCAAGTCTATGTCTAAGAAACTGAATACAAATAAAACCTCACCAGTTCCAGTAAGCTTCCTTTTACAGACTAGTCTCCTGCTAGTCTGGGTCCAGCAATCTCTCACATCCCCTGTAGTTGCTGTCCTTTTGTTCCAGTTTCTTTCAGGTATCCTTGGGGTTGGAGAGGCTACCTCTTTAGCCAGATGAAGACAAAATGGAGGGGGTCTCCTGGGGGTTTAAGTAGACTTTCTCTTGTGGGTGGAGACCCCTTCCTTACTCCTATGCAAAGTCCAGCTTCAAGATGGAGTTTTGGAGTTTCCATGCATGACTCAGTTTTTACCAGCCAAGCCACATTCCTGGGAAGGCTCAGATGTGGATTGGCATCTTCAAGTTCATTGTTGGTTTAAGTGGTTTTTGATTGGGCACTTCATTTGCACTTTTCTCAAGCTGACCAAATGCTCTACTAGGCTAGTTAAAATCAAGGCAGTACACAGCCAATATTCATAACTTCAAATACAAAAATGATACATGCATACAAATAGGATGAATACATTCAGTAGATCATAACCTTTACATAGATATGTTACATGGCATATGTAGCCTAAAACATATTCTAGTTATGTCACATATACAATCATAAGCATATTCCATAAAGCCTTATGCGGGGCACCATCACAAATACTGGTTGAACTACCAATACAATAGGTACAAAAGTTAAATCCTGGTGCCACTGAACTCAGAGAGAGTTTTACCATTGACTTCAGTAGGGCCAGGATTTCACTGAAAGAAAAAGAAAGTATGTTACTTTATACTAAGAAAGGGCCCATAGGAAAGCAAGTCAGTCTGTTTTTAAAATCCTAATAAAAACTAGCTTCAGAATAATGCATTACATAAATACTGTGTATCGGAATTAATGGATTTAACACAAAACCTATGCTTCATCATTAGGGGTCTCAGATATTCAAATAATCACAATATATCCCAAATTTCCTTGATAAATTGTGCTCTGTTTTGATGAGGAGGGGATGGCATTATAGTATAAAGTATTTAAGAAGTCCAAGTGTTTAAGATCAAAATCAGGCCCATTTAAAAAAAAATACAAAAAACTAGACACCGAAAGAAGTAGCATCCCAGAAATATACGCTGAAGTTGCATTTTAGTTTCTTGGAGAAATAATCAACTTTTATATAACACCTCCAAGCTTCCTTCTTTCTCTTCCTTCCCCTCCTCTGCCCCCCGCCTCCTTTTTTAAATTACAATGGTGGTGTTTTTTCATCCAGTTTAAAAGAATAAAAAAATCAAATGGTTTATTTATAGCTATTGGAAGACACTGTAATTCATGTTAACATACTTAATCCATTGCAATATGGTGAACATGGAGAATTTCCTCTTAATATTCTCATAATAATACTTTGAAATTCTAATAATGGCTCTCATTTGGAGATCTCAGAGCTTTATAGTTCTGAAGTACGTAATGGATCACTTCACCCACCTGTGAAATACTGTCACATCTAGGGTGGGATACAGCAGCTGAATAACAGTGCACAGCAACATTACATAGCACTTCAGCACACGAACTGAAGAATGCTATATTCAGTTGAAATCACAGGGGGTAGTTGAGATAGAGTGCAATTCCAACTGAGCTGGAATTTTGCAGAGACACCACTGTCTTCTACGGAGCATATGTTGTATCTTGACTTACAGGAGTCTTGTTCTGAACTAGGGAAAGGACTGTACATTTATTCTTCTGAGGCAGTGTGTGTGTCTTGTTGCTGGCCAGAGGGGTAGGGCTGTCTTATAGAGATGCTCAGATGCGTTGTTGGTATGTCACTCCTGGCTGGTGTTATTGTGTCTGCATATTTAGGCGGTAGGAGGAGTTGGTCATATTCTTAAGAGGAGAACTTAAGACAACTGAACAGTCACACTAGTCAGCAGACATTTTTTTTCTTTAAGCACATCAGCTTGTCAAAGAACTAAATGCCTGTCTTGCAGGATGATGATTTCCCTTCTCTAACCTTTAGGGATTTCCCTTTGTGTGCTTGTTTTCAAAGATCACATATGGCTCTACTACCGTTTTTAATTCATTTTCTTTCTGCATAAAATTGTGTAACTTGCAGTGTCTCAAAAGACTGGGAAAGGAGATAACACAAAATGTTCATAGCCATTTTATCACTTTTCCCTTAAGAGCTAGTAAGTTTTAAATTCTGTGATGTGAGTAGATATATATAGCTAGTTTCCTAGGGTGGTCCTGTGCAGTTGCCGTAATCCTCTACTTGCTGTGTGTTACTCTGAGGCTATGGTGTGGTGTGGGAAAGGAGCCTTCTGATTGGACAAATGTGCTGAGGAGGGAAGAAAAATGCAAATTAGTTGATGGGCTAGAAACCTGGACTTGTAGTTGCTTTTATTGCCAGCCTGTCTTGCTTTGCAAACATGCAGTGGAAAAAAAAATCTGCTTTGATTTTGTTTGTTTGTTTGTTTGGTTTAAATAATAAAGAAAAATGTAACTGGAATCTAGATCGGCAGTAAGGAGGGGGGAAACTGTCTGATTTGAGTGATGGTTTTTCTGTTTTTAAATCAGTAAAACTGGTGTTAAGGGACAGTATTTTTTTTTCTTTTTCTTTTGTAATACTACTTTGCTTGAGTTTCTTGTTTTGAGCCTTAATGTTATGTTGCAAGAAGCACTCTGCTTCATTACAGGGCTGTCGCTGCCATAGTTACTGAAAACTGCATTATGCTGTAGAAGCCGCCAGCCTCTGCATCAGCCTTGGAAGTATTTGGGGAAGAGGGGAGGGGAATTACACAATAGGACTCCAGAAAGCTGACGACAAAACAGGCTGGAGAAAATGCGGATCTACAGCAGGTTCATTTAGCATCCCTAATGCAAACTTTGTAGATAGAAAGATGAGATGAAAAACAATCCAGCTTTGTTACAATATGAAGATTTTCTCAGTAATTTATTACATTTAGGTTAAGGTTGGTTATTTTTTTTTTTTTTTTGTTGGCTGCTTACTTAATAGTTTTAAATGTTTACTTGGAGGAGGATGAACTGTTAATATTTCTATTGTATTTGGTAAATCTGGGGTGTGTCAGTGTGTGTACAATTCTACAGAGGGAAACCGCTGTCCTTTATTCCGAGCTTGCTTTTTGACATGCTGTGCACCAGTAAATGCTGGTCTTGTCTATCTAGGTTTCTGTTTTGGAGATAGATGCTCAGCTCTGCAGAATTTAAACTGCTTACCCCATGCCTGTCCTGATGTTAAATTATTTTATTTCCTAATAGTGCTACGTGAACTGTTTATGTGTGCATGTGCATTTGGGAGAGAAGGGGGGATGCAAGCAATAGAGGGAACTGATCCCTGCTTGAAATACATAGATTTGGAATATCTGAAACAAGATGAAATCTTACTGGAGTGTCCAGTTCAGGGGGTGTTTCAGTGGACCAATGAAACAACCACCTGTACTTATCTCTGAATGTGCTAATTTGTTTTTGTAACATAAGATGACCTTCATTTTTAGTTAATCATTCAAATGTATTTTGAACATATTAATTGGACTTTAAATTGTCTGTTTGGAAAATTCAGCTACCAAATATGTTAGCATTTTATTTTCTTGTTTGGCTAATGTCACTCATTTGTAACTTCACTTTACTCTATCATTTTCACAAACCAGCAAGGATAATTCGGGGTGGCTGTAAAACGTTCAGAAAGTAAATGGGAAACATTTTGGATTCATATCATTGTTTTTAATCACTGAATGCGGAGTGACAGATCTGAATCCCAAATCCAAGCAAATCATATTATACTCAAGATTACTAGCCTCATTGCCAGTGGAAAAACACTCCATGTTCTGCCATACCTGTATTATGTAAGCAGCAGCCTGTGAATTTTCATTATCTCTCCTCCTCCTCCTCGTCCTCCTCAGAGAAACTGTTGTCAAGCTGTAAATGTGTAAAGACTGGTTGGTGCTGTCCTAGCCTGTGCATAGGTACTCAGGCCTTTCTTCATTTCCATGTCTGATTTTTATCTTGTACTACTAAAAACAGAGAGAGAAGTCAGAGACACCGATATAGCAACAGAATTGTAACTAGCATGTGTGTCTTGCTCTTTTAGCAATAATAGGACAATATTCCCTTCATCTGTTACAGAATCAATAACCTCAGAGAGGTAAAGAGCCATAGCTATTTGTCCACATAATGAAAACATAGGATTATAACAGTATGATAATAATTGTAGTCATGGTGTTTTCTAAGTGTTGCAAAGCATTTTTGAATGCAGTGGGGTATGGGTATACTTCTGTGTACTGTGTCTTTCAAGGACATATTCCTAGTACGGAGCTTTCAATAGTGTAAGTAGGTTTGGCTAGTATTGTCCTGCTGAATGTGCAAACTCAAAATGGTTAACATTGGGGAGGATCACTAGCTTCCTGACAATTCAGCAAAAACAAACTCTCATGTGAGGGGATCTGCTGGTATAGCAAAATTATTACTACATAAAACTTTTAAAATGTTTTCATTGGGGGGGCATCAAAGGCTCTTTAAAGCTTTACAGTTTCCTTTAAAGAGAGCAAAAATGTCAATCTTAGACTCAGAAACGTAGGTCTGGCAGGGACCTTGAAAAGTCATCCAGTTCAGCCCCCTTTGCTGAGGCAGAACCGAGTAAACCTAGACAATCCCCGACAGCTATTTGTCCAACCTGTTCACACAAACCTTCTGTGATGGGAATTCTACAATCTCCCTTGGAAGCCTGTCCCAGGGCTTAACCACCCGTTATAGTCAGAAAGTTTTTTTCCTGATATCTAACCTAAATCTCCTTTGATGCTAGTCCTATATTCAGTGGGCATGGAGAACAATTGATGACAGTTCTTTTTATAACATTCCTTAATATGTTTGAAGACCTGTTATCGGTCTCCCCCATCCCCAAGTTGTCTGTTCTCAAAACTAAACATGCCCAGTTTTTTTTAACCTTTTGTCATAGGTCAGGTTTTCTAAACCATTGATCATTTTTCCTGAAGTGTGGTGCCCAGAATTGGACACAGCACTCCAGCTGTGGCCTCATCTGTGCTGAATAGAGCAGGACAATTACCTCCTGTCTTACATACAAGACTCCTGTTAATGTACTCCAGAATGATATTGACCTGTTTCACAACTACATCAAATTGTTGACTCATTATCAATTTGTGATCCACTATAACCTCCAGATCCTTTTTAGCTTTACTACCACCTAACCAATTATTCCTCATTTGTAGCTGTGCGTTTGATTTTTCCTTTCTAAGTGTAGAACTTTTCACTTGTCTTTATTGACTTTCATCTTGTTGATTTCAGACCAACTCTCCAATTTGTCAAGATAATTTTGAATTCTAATCCTGTCCTCCAAAGTGCTAACACCTTCCAGTTTGATGTAATCTGTAAATTTTATAAGCATACTCTCCACTTCATTATCTGAGTCATTAGTAAAAATACTGAATAGTACCAGACGCAGGCCTGACCCCTACAGAGCCCCCCTAGATACACCCTCCTAATTTGACAGCGAGCCATTGATCATCTTTGAGTATGATCTTTCAATCAGTTTTGCACACTCCTTATAGTAATTTCATCTAGAGCACATTTCCCTAGTTTGCTTTTAAGAGTGTCACATGGGACTGTCTAAAAGGTTTTACTAAAATCAAGATATATAATATCTACTGTTTTCTCCCCCAATCCACTAGGCCAGTAGCCCTGTCAAAGAAGGAAATTGGGGATGGTTTGTCATGATTTGTTCTTGACAAATACCTGTTGTCTGTTCCTTGTAATCCTGTTATCCTCTAGGTGCTTACAAATTGACTGTTAAATAATGTGTTCCAGTATCTTTTCAGGTATCAGAATTAGGCTGACTGGTCTATAATTCCCAGCTTCTCCTTTGTACCCCTTATTGAAAATAAGTACTATGTTTGCATTTCTCCATCACATCCTCCCAGCACCCTCAACGATAATTGTTAAAGCTCCAAGATTACTTCAGTTAGTTCCTTAAGTGCGTTAGGATGTATTTCATGAGGCCCTGCAGACTTGAATACATCTAATTTATCTAAATATTCTTTAACCTGTTTTTTCCCTATTTTGACTTGCGTTCCTTCCCCCTTGTGGCTAATATTAATTGTATTGTATCTGGTCACCATTCACCTTTTTAGTGAAGACTGAGGCAAAATAGGCATTAAACACCTCAACCTTCTTGATGTCATCAGTTATTCGCTCTCCTTCCCCATTAAGTAGAGGACCTACACTTTTCTTCATCTGTCTCTTGTTCCTAGTGTATTTAAACAATTTCATCTTAGTCCGTTTCATGTCCCTTGCTACGTGTAACTCATTTTGTGCTTTAGCCTTTCTGATTTTGTCCCTACATGCTTATGCTGTTCTTTTTTACTTCTCCTTAGCACTTTGTCCATGTTTCCACTTTTTGTAGGATTCCTTTTTGGTTTTCAGGTCATTAAAGAGCTCCTGATGGAGCCATATTGGCCTCTTACTATTCTTCCTATTGTCCTTCACATCAGGATAGTTTTCAGTTGTGCCTTTAATATTGTCCCCTTTAGAAACTGCCAGCTCTCCTGAACACATTTTTCCCATAGATTTTCTTCCCAGGGGACTTTCCCTACCAGTTCTCTGAGTTTGTTTAAAGTCTGCTTTTTTTGAAGACTATTGTCCTTATTCTGCCGCTCTCGCTCCTTCTTTTCTATCTATCTATCATTTCATGAACACTTTCACCCAAATTGCTGTCCACCTTCCTATTCACTGCCAATTCATCCCTGTTGGTCAGAATCGAGTCTAAAATGGTTAAATTAGCTATAATTTTATAAATAAAAGTTTTGTTCTTTCCTAAAATGAATCTGTAAAAATGGCATTTTCCGTATTTATTCTTTTTCAATGTTTTACACATTTAATTTGCTAAATTTACAAGTAAAAAATCAAATGTGATTCATATATCATTCCTGTAAATATTCTGCAGTTGAACCTTTATTGTTAATTGAGTTGTTGATGGACAAACTAGAATGGAATCCAGCTCCCTCTTTCATAACTATGAGTGGCTTGACAGTATAAGTGAAAGTAGTAAAAAATTATTTTGTCATTGAAATACATGTATACATATCTTGAAATGCACTCTGGGAGAAGAACTGTTAATGTGTTTTGTTTAACATAGTCGCCTTTTTGGCCATAACTGCACTTAAAATATAGAAGAAGCAACCTTATCTAATGGTTAGAGCAGAGAATTTGGTGACAAGATCTGGGCTGTTACGTTGACTCTATTAGCGACTGATTGTGTAACCTTGGGTTACTCGCTTAACCTCCCTAGGCTTCAGGGTTTTTTTGGCCTGTAACAAGAGAATAATTATCAGTTTTACCATGAGAAACCTCATGTGTGATAGCTTTGATTTATATGGGATTGTGACATACTATGTATGACATCACATATGCAATTACCTTAGCACCATACGATCTTGACATAATTTTCTAGTCCTTGAATGTGTTTGATTGTACACACAATAGCTTGAATTTTGTCTGATTTAAGGATCTAACATAAAGAAACGTGTCTTAACAAAAAAATGATTGTTTCTTGGTTTAAAATTATTGTCATTGTCTAACAGCAGAGAGAGAGATTCTGTGCATGAAGAGTACAAGCAGAAGCTGAGAGATCAGGAAGCTTTCCACAGGGAACACATTCAACAGCAGCAGCTCTACGTTGAGGATTTAAAGCAGCAGATCCTGGCAGGACAGATCAAAGCAGAGCGGGAACTAGAATATGACCAGGCACTAATCAACCAGCAGATCAGAGAAAGTGGGTGTCATCTCTCTTTCTCTCTCACTTCCCTTCTTTTACTGCATTCCTTCATTGCTGTTTTCATTTTTCTCCCCTTTTTACATTTTTGGACCATTGGTGGAGTCTTCGATAGTTAACCAGTTTTCTCCTATAATTGTCCTCCTTATGAGGACAGTTATCAAATTTTTGCTAACAGAGGATGAAATGGAGTTCATTAGCACCTGAAACCCCAACCCCTGGCTCCCGGCAGGTGTGCCCTGACTCTCGAACTTCTGAAGATTGACGTATGTGGCTCGGTGGCCCAGTAATACACAGAATTTTAAAATATTGTGTGCAGATTTTATAATTTTTTGGCACAGAATTCCCCCCAGGAGTAATACTACTTGCTTTATGGCATGGAGCTCCACGCCTCTCCTGATACTCCTGGTCACTGCTTGTCTTGCATGGCTCTATTTAAGTATTTAACTCAAGTGCCCCTTATGGCAGTGTGGAGTGACTTGGCTATCTGGGCTTTTTTCTTTTTTTAAATGTCTACCTGTTATTTCTTGAATTTATCCTGAGAAGTTGAAACCCAAGAAGGCCTTTCAAGGCTGAGATAATTCCTGATGAAAAGCATGTGAGGAGTTGCCCTTTGGAGATAGACTGTTATACACACTAACACATACTGATGGAACAACTCATGCTTGCAACTGCAGTAAAGATCTGTGGGTGTTATATCCCTGCTCACTTTGCCAGTGGTATCACCTGTAAAATGGCATAGATCATATTCACACACTCATAGTCAATTTCACTCTCAAACTGATGTTCATAGGAAAATGTTATGTGTATAGGCCCATGGCACTGATTGAAATCTTCTGCGAATTCCATGTGAAACCTAAACAATGGAACCAATTAAATACAGAGAGAACCAAAAATGACAAGAGGGACAAACATGAAAAAGAAGAGAGACAATTTGTTTAAAATCTAGGTCAACACATAATATATAATATGAAATTTGAAAGGGACAATCGAGTTTAGGGTAAGATCATGGCCCTGCTGAAGTAAAAGTGAGTTTTGCCATTGACTTCAGTGGGACCAGAATTTCACCTAGGTTTCAAAAATTTGCTTGATGGCAGCTCTGTAGATAATTCATTTTGTTAGCCTCTAAAATTATTAATTTTGACCTTCTCTAAATGTGATTGATGCCTTCCAGCCAAATGCTTTCATATCTTTGTCAATACTGAGCAAGAAGTGTCTTGCAGTAGTTGAAGCAGAGTCTAATTAATTATAGGTTAAAACTGCAACATTACTATTACAACATGGTCTCTTCTCTGTACATTCAAATGGAAACTACAACGGAAGAACTCAGTTTTTTAGGGTGTTGATTTACAGGTCTTCAAAGATGGCATGGTGGTCTGTAATCATAGAATATCAGGGTTGGAAGGGACCTTGGGAGGTCATCTAGTCCAACCCGCTGCTCAAACAAGACCAATCCCCAGACAGATTTTTACCCCAGTTCCCTAAATGGCCCCCTCAAGGATTGAACTCACAACCTTGGGTTTAGCAGGCCAGTGCTCAAACCACTGAGCTTTCCCTCTCCGCTCCCTACTGCATACATGGCATATAGGCCAGCCTGAGGGAGACTCTGTTACAGGAATGTCACCATTCCTGTTCTGTTCATCAGGTGAAAGTGATTTGTTGACTGGGGAAGGATATTTTACTGATGAAACTGCTCTGAGCATATCCACAGCTATCCCTAAATGACATGGCAGTGATGTGGACTGGGAAGAAGCTGGTTGTCAAAGCCAGAATTAGGTTTTCTGACCTCGTTGACCAATTAGAATAAGGGGTGGTGAAGACAAAAAAAAAATGTTGAAAAAGGGTATTTGAAAAACAAAGAGATGGACAAACATTCCTGAGGTGTTCGTAACTCTGAGGTTCTGCTGTATTATCAAACACAAACCGGGTCGTGGTGATCTACCCATTTGTAAACTCCAGGGTTGATTATTGCAACTCATCATATTGGAAATGATGCCACACACCCTGAAAAAGCTTCAACTGATAAAGAATGCTAAAATCCTGTCTGCTGAATAACACATCAACTCAGTGCTCTGCATTGGTTCTCCACTGAATACAAAATTCATGATCTCTGTTCTAATATTCAAAGGCCTCTATTGGATTGTCCTCTAGCCACCTGCAAGATTGCCTCTCCCTTTGCAACCATAGAATCATAGGAGTGGAAGGGAACTCGAGAGGTCTTCTCGTCCAGTCCCCTGCACTCAAGGCAGGGCTAAGTATCATTTAGACCATCCCTGATAGGTATTTCTCTAACCTGCTCTTAAAAATCTGCAAAGATGGACATTCCATAGCCTCTCTAGACAATTTATTCCGGTGCTTAACCTCCCTGACAGGAAGTTTTTCCTAATGTCCAACCTAAACTGTCCTTGCTGCAATTTAAGCCCATTGCTTCTTGTCCTATCCTCAGAAGTTAGAAAACAATTTTTCTCCCTCCTCCTTGCAACAACCTTTTATGTACTTGAAAACTGTTATGTCCCCTCTGTCTTCTCTTCTCTAGACTAAACAAACCCAATTTTTTCAATCTTCCCCCATAGGTCATGTTTAAGGCTATGATTTAGGCACGGGTATTTTTAGTAAAAGTCACAGACACATCACGGGCAATAATCAAAAAGTCACGGCCAGTGACCTGTCCATGACTTTTACTAAAAATACCCGTGCCTAAATCTTAGGTGCTGGGGGCAGGGAGGTTCTCCGGCGGTCATTGCTGCTCCTGGGGGTGGGGGGTGGCCTAGGGCCCTGCCACCGCTGCTGCTCCAGGTGGGGGGCGGCTCATGGCCTCGCAGCCTTAGTCATGTTTTCTAGATCTTTATTCATTTTTGTTGCTCTTCTCTGGACTTTCTCCTATTTGTCCACATCTTTCCTGAAATGTGGAGCCCAGAACTGGACACAATACTCCAGCTGTGGCCTAATCAGCGCAGAATAGAATGGAAGAATTACTTGTCTTGCTTACAACATTCCTGCTAATGCATCCCAGAATGATGTTTGCTTTTTTTGCAACAGTGTTACACTGTTGACTCATATTTAGCTTGTGGCTCACTATGACCCGCAGATCCCTTTCTGCTGTACTCCTTCCTAGGCAGTCATTTCCCATTTTGTGTGCGTGCAACTGATTGTTCCTTCTTAAGTGGAGTACTTTGCATTTGCCCTTACTGAATTTCATCCTATTTACTTCAGGCCATTTCTCCAGTTTGTCTAGATCATTTAGAATTTTAATCCTATCCTAAAAGCACTTGCAACCCCTTCCAGCTTCGTATCATCCACAAACTTTGTAAGTGTACTCTCTGTGCCATTTCTAAATCATTGATGAAGATATTGAACAGAACCGGACCCAGAACTGATCCCTGTGGACGTCTCATGACAGTTACGTTCCACAGGGACAATGAAGCAGTTGACTTATGAGCACAGGAGACAGAACTTTCAGATCTAGAACAGTTTATGGAACTCATAAGAGATAAGAATGACCATGGAACTAACCACTTTCAGAGCTAAATGCAAAATCCATTTTATTGACTTAGCTTTCTCTCACTTTAGATGCACATACACATCAGCATAAACGAGCAAAACAAAAACAAGAAATATAATACATACATTAAGTTGTTTCTGCTACAGGCTGGGAAAGAAGAAAGGGGAATACAGAGAACTATTACCATCTCTATTTTTAAATACTTTCAGAGCTCTCAAATACTATAGGGATCAGGGCCGGCTCCAGGCACCAGCCCACCAAGCTTGTGCTTGGGGCGGTACCTGGAAGGGGGCGGCGCAGTGCTCCGGCTCCGGCCGCTGGGGAGAGCGGAGCCCCGGCTGGGCTCTCCGGCCTCCCCCCGGCACTCTGGCCGCCGGGGAGAGCAGAGCCCCGGCCGGCACTCCGCCCTCCCCCGGCGCTCTGGCCGCCACTCCGCCCTCCTCCCGTCGCT